GACCGAGTAACCCTTGAGCAACAGAGAAACCCCTGACCAAGTAACCGCTGAGCGATCGAGAAAGTAACTCCTTATCGAGTGAGTAACCCCTGACCGAGTGAGTAACCCCTAATACGATTCATCACCAATTCTTTCATTCCGATTTCTAAGAGGAAAGTTACATATTCAAATAAAAAAATCTATTAACTATTATTAAAACAGAAATTTGCTGACATCATACATCATCCTCCCTATCCTAAGTGTCTCTTCCACATTAAAAAATTTCCCGTCATTTTGTTGTATGACATCATCAATTTTTTTTTTAAATATTTTTTTTAAAAAAACTACAAGTATTGAATTAGATAATAATGCATACTACGATTGTTGCATTGGTTGCCTGTAAATACAGAACTATCAAATTATATATGTACATACATATTATATATATATATATATATATATATATATATATATATATATATATATATATATATATATATATATAAGCTTTGTTACTAAAAAATAAATAAATAAATAAAAATTGTGAAAGTGAGAAATTACCTATTAAAAAAATGTTTTAATTGACTACCAACTTTTGAAAAATATTGTAATTTACTACCTTATGCCGGATTATGAAGTTTGACCAAAATTTTCTGGCATTGACTTGGTCACGTGACACTTGGTGACCATCACGTCGGAAAATTGTGAGAAAATTTGGGAAAGAAAAGGGTCATTAAGTGTCACATGATGGTCAGGTGACCAAGTCAACGCTGGAGAAATTTGATCAAACTCCTTCAATTCATAATCCTACGTAAGGTAGTAAATTACAATATTTTTTAAAAATTAGGTAGTCAATTACAACATTTTTTTTTATAGGTAGTTTCTTGCAAATTCTGGACTATAATAGGTAGTTTTTCACAAAATTTCAAAAAAAAAAATTAGAGCTATGTATAAGGAAACTACCAATGATGAAAAGTGACTAACTTTTGCCACAATGCCAAAGTGAATTATAAGTGTAAATAAAAAAGCACTAATTATCCTAAATTCCCTCCTATTTAATTGTGATGATAAGTGTAAATAAAAACATAAAGCAATAATTATCCAAAGTAATAATTGACATTTTGTTTTAATATATAATAATATGTTGCAATTTTTTTTCCACATTACTTTTATTCGGTGTGTGTTCTTATGTCTTTGAAGGTATGAAAATATTTTTCTTTCATATTCCAATTTGCAATTTAATTTTACTCAAATTGATGTCAATTATTATGATTATTCGGTAATAACATTTTTTTATCATGCAGGATATATGAAAATGTCTACACAACATTACAATATGAGTTCATTGAAGACATAATTCCAATGAAGGAAAATATGATAATTAATTAAGATACGTATACGCTTATGGAATCCACCAAGCTTTGATAATCCAAACGACTACAACATTGAGATGGTATTTCTTGATAAAAAGGTATTAATAATACATTCAAAATAAATTCTTAAGTCACATAAGTCACATACAAAGTATAGGGTACGGTGATAGGTGCACCCAAGCCATATTTCAGAGTGTTGAGGCCTATTTTGCCTATTTATTACTCCCTCCGTTTCATAATGTTAGTCCCATATACTATTTTGGGCGTTTCAAAAAGATCTACCCATATTGAATATATTTCATTTATAACTTGATTTTTTTTTTGAATTAATTGATTATGTATTGATGACATAACTCTAAGTTAGGAATTTTTTAAATTAAATTATGCAATTATGACTTATGCTTTCCTAATGAAAAATCAAAAAAGTTAAATAAGTTAAACTAATTATGAAATTTGTTGTCCTTTAATGTTAGATTTCAAATATATTTGTTTTCTTATTTTATGTGATTGATTCTATGTAGGATTAATATTATGAAACGGAGGGAGTATTAGTTAGTAAATTGGGGACTGACTGATTTATTATTATCTGAAATCTTAGGTACTCTCTTTTCCAAGTACCCGATTATTAGCACCCTAACTTGGAACCTAGTCACCTCTAGCCACCCAACCATTCAACCCCTGAAGCCTAGCCACCCAACTAACCAACCAATTAAAATCCCAAGGACCCCGAAAACACCAAAACCCATGAAACCTAGCAACCCAACACATGAAACACAGCCACTCGAAACCCAACCACCCAACCCATGAAATTGTAGGTTGTAAAGGGGGCAACACCATCACTGCCCAAAAAAGGTGGTGGCTGGATAGTGGGTGTAGGCAGAACAAAGGGAGACCCATGAGTTAAGAAAAATGGGGTTATTTAGGTCGAGAAATTGAGATTAGTGGTGGTGTTGATGGTAATTTTAGGTGCAGTGGTAGGGTGAGTGATGCGTAATAAGTTGGGTTATTCGTAGTTATAAATTTTAGAAGTTTGTCTACAAGTTTTTACTTCTCACTTTAGAAGGTTTTTCTTGTTTTAGGCTTATGATATATTTTTGTTAGTTGTCATGAGTTTCATTTTTTAGGTTGTTACCTTAAGATAGAGTTCTTTTTAAGAGTTTTTACTAGGATAGAATTATAATTAAGCTAGGATATCTTTTTAGATTTTATTAGCTTATTTATAGTCGATGTTAGTATTCATCAGTTTATTCATAGGAGATTAATAAAATTTTGGTTTATTGAGAATTATTGTTAGTCGAGAAGATGAGCAATTAAACTGAGAAAGCAAATCCTAGTTGAGTATTAATCCAACAAAGATTAATAATCTTCAATTCATATCTTCCATTACTTACAAATCAAACACATAGCCACCAAAATTACAAATTTAAGGCCAAATATTCAATACTCACGCAAGAAACATACATCACTATGTTTGTTAACTAAAATATTCGCCTTTTTGTTTAAAGAAACGCACCAGTGGGTGTGAGAGAAAGGAAGGGAAAGTGGTGGTAAAAAAGGTGAGGGGAAGGGGGAAGGGGGAGGGGAGAAGCAGTCGGAATAGTGAGTGGGAGAAGGAAGGGGAGGGGCTGTTGAGAAAGGGAGGGAGAAGGGGGTGATCGAAGGGTAAAGGGTTGCTAGATCATATTTAATAGAAGTAGCTAGAGGAGGGGAAGGGGGGCAGATCTAAGGAAGGGGAGGACAAGGGGAAAGAGAAAAGAATTTTTTTTAAAAAAATATTCTTTTTATTTTTTTATTTTTTACATTTAAACGAATCAAAATATGACACGTAGATAGATGACTTGATTTTGTAGGTTGGTAACCGGTTGGGCCTAATAAAATTGCAGCCCCTCCCCCGTCTCGTCCCGCCCCCCTAAAAAAGCTTGGATTATTCAAGAATAATCAAAAGTTTAGATTAATAGATTTGAATGGGCTAAAAGTCGGATTATTCTAATCAATTTTTCATTAATTTGTAGTCTTACAAATCAGACCAACACTAGAATTTTATTTTTATTAACAATTAACATATATTTTTGGGTCATGGTTTTTCCGTCAAAGTCATTGAAGAATGAATTATCCCCCATAAAAACAAAACAAGAATTTAAGGGCTAGTTTGACATTGTGTGTGTGTGTTTTTTTTTCTCATTTAATAAATTATGTTTTTTTTATTATTATTATTTAAGAAATAGAAAGAGAAGGTGGATAAAGTACATTAATAAAAGTGAAAAGTACAATTCTAGACAAAAGTTAAAGAGATAAAGTGGAGAAAAGTACAAGGATGTGCAATATATAATTCAAGAATAATGTAAGAAGTAAAATGAATAAAGTCAAAATAGTGAGGGTACAATGGTCATTACATATTACCCAAAAGTAGAAACCGGATCAATATTTTAGCTCTTCAAAATAGAAAAGTAAGAACTATATTATGGGACTGAGGAAATATATCTTAAGTATTTTTTTTATAAGGATTGTTTAAATTTACTTTAATGATAACTATTTTTGTTATTGGTCAAAAGTTAAATAACGAATGGATAAGATGAATTTATTAATTGAAGGGTTAAAATTCACTCAAATAATGACCATAATTTTAATTTTGCTATTAATCCCTCCATTTTAAAATACTTGCTCCATTTCTTTTGGGCACATATACCGATGCTAATATTTGATTAATAATATATTTAATTATCAATAAGTGTAAATTCTAACAATTGAAAATTAATAATCTACTCATTGAAGTACCCACAAGTAGGGATGTACACAGTTTGGTCTGGACCGTAACCAAACCAGACCAAACCGCTTTTTAGTAGTTTGGTTTGGTTTACGGCTTGGAAAAATATGGTTTGGTTTCAATTTTTGGGGAAATATGGTTTGCGGTTAGGTTTGGTTTTTCGAAAAATTATAAACCAAACCAAATCGTAAACCAGTAAACCGCATTTTAATATTTATATAATTTTTAATTAAATTAAAATAGTTATTATATATTATAAAAAAATTAAAAAAAAAAAACATGAAAAATCATTAGAAGACTATACGGTCAGTATACTACTATACTCTATACTCTATACTCATTCTCAAATATCAATACTTAAAAATTCAATAGGTCATATAACTCATATTGCTCTTATTGTGTTAGCACTTAGCACTTGATTAGTTGGTTGTTATTTTTATTAAAACTTGAATTGTAGTAAAATTTAATCCCTTTGGGCTAATTATTTAAACTTTATTATAAATTTATTAATATTTGACAATTTTTTCGGAAAAAAATGTCGTCTCATCATAAACCGCAAACCAAACCGCATTATTACGGTTTGGTTTGGTTTGGTTTGGTTTCAATACTAATATGGTTTGTGATAGAGATTATGTTACTAATCTCTTCATATTCATATTCTGTTGATACTCTTTGTGTGTAATTAGCATTGATTATACTTCTCTTATTAGGTTTGTAATACACCTATATATTTGGATGAATGAGAATGACTCCATCAAGGAGATTCACACAATCTGACATGGTATCAGATGCCTAAGGGTGTCTCCCTATCTTCTATCTTCATCCTTCTCGACCCTTGGCCTACCGTAGCTTTCTAGCAGCCGCCATCTCTCCTTCCATCCTCCATGGTCGGCGATGATGAAACTCCTCCCCCTCCCTCTAAAACCTTTCAACTCGCCTATGCCGTAAACAACATCAAAAATCTGATTAGCATCACCCTTGATCAAGAGGAAGGGCAATATGCCACATGGGTTGAGCTCTTCCATATTCAAGCTTGTGCGTACAATGTTCTTGACCACATTGATGCCTCCGTTTCTCGACCCACAGATATTGATGATGCGACATGGACTCGGTTAGATGCTATTGTCAAAGGTTGGATTTACAGTACTATCTCCAAAGACCTTGTTCACACTATCATGAAACAAGGCGCAACCGCACTTGAATTATGGACTCGGCTTAAAGACGTTTTCCATGACAACAAGCACACTAGGGCTGTGTATTTGGAGGAGAAATTCAACACCACTCGACTTGAGAATTTTGCTAATATGGCAGAATATTGCAAGGAAATCAAACTTCTGACTGATTAACTAAGCAATGTTGATAACCCGGTCTCCGAAAGGAAGATGGTTCTTCAGTTGATTTCTGGTCTTACTAAAGGGGAATATGACACGGTTGCTGCATTGATCTCCCAAACCGACCTAACCCCGAGTTTCAGCAAGGCCCGCTCTATGTTTTTGCTCGAGGAAACCCGAAAATCCAAGCAAGATGAACACGGGCAGCAAGCTCTAGTTGCACAGCAGCAGTCTCTGGCCACCGTCAATTCTGCGGCATCCACACAGCAGCCCCAACATCAGTCCGACGGCCACCGTAGTGGTGCTGGCCGTGGTGGCCGTGGTCGCGGCCGTGGGCAAAATAGAAATGGAAAAGGTCGTGGGAGGGGGCGAAATTCTAACTCCCCACAACATCATCAGTCCAACAATGGTCCGCAATTCTCAGCCCAACAGCAACAAGGCCCACAATGGGGGGCTCAATCCTCTTGGCAGCAACATCAACCCCAAAATTGGGCATCCCCACCATGCCCATATCCCACGGGCCCGTTTCAGCAACTTAGGGCCCAGCAGCAACATCCATCATTGTTGGGCCCACGACCTGCCCAACAAAAAGCTTATTATGCTACCCCGGCCCAATCTGGTTACGGTCCCCTAATGACCCCTACGGAATTCGGTCAAGCTTATAGTTCCATGAGCTTCCAAACTCCCGACAACGGTTGGTACATGGACACGGGGGCGACTTCTCATGTGACTCGTGATTCGGGTAACTTTTCTAAACTGTTTAATTTGAGCATTCCTCAATACATTTTGGTCGGTGATGACAAACGCATTCCAATTTATGGCTACGGATCCACCTATACCCCCCACCTAACTCTTCTTTCCATCTCAAGAATGTCCTATATGTTCCTAGCATTATTAAAAACCTAATTTCTGTTAGAAAATTCACTTGTGATAATTCTGTTTCTGTTGAATTTGACCCTCTCGGTTTTTCTGTGAAGGACCTTCTTTCGGGGACAATTCTAGCGAGATGCAATAGTGTGGGGGACCTCTATCCTCTATCCCCAACTTCCGCTTCAAACACTCCACGTTCTCTAGCTGCAACTTCTCCTTCTACTTGGCATAATAGACTTGGACATCCCGGCGCACCAGTTTTTGATTTTCTTAGGAAAAACAATCTTATCAATTGTAATAAGCGTACTAGTACTCCTTTCTGCTACTCTTGTCCTTTAGGAAAACATGTACGACTCCCTTTTAAGTCGTCTACTACTGTAACGTTTTCCCCTTTTGATATAATTAATGCGGACTTATGGACTTCTCCTATTACTAGCAAATTGGGTCATAAATATTATTTGGTGTTGCTTGATGATTTCTCTCATTTTATTTGGATTTTTCCTCTCAAATTCAAATCCCAAGTCTATGACATTTTATTGAATTTTCGTGCTTTTGTAAAAACACAATTTGAAAGGGACATCAAAACTTTCAAAGTGACAATGGCCGGGAATTCGACAATTCTCATTTTCTTACTTTTTGTGCGAAAAATGGCATAGTCTTTCATTTCTCTTACCCAAACTCTTTTTCCCAAAATGGCAAAGCCAAAAGAATAATCCGTACTATCAACAATATGTCTCGCACAATTCTTTTTCATGCCTCTCTCCCACCTTCTTTTTGGGTGTATGCAATTCATATGGTAGCTTATATTCTCAACATTCTACCCTCCAAGACCATCCAAAACAAAACACCAACCGAAGTTTTATATCGTAGGTTACCCACTTACGATCATCTTCGTACTTTTGGATGCCTTTGCTACCCAAATTTGAGTGCCACCGCTCCTCATAAGCTAGCCCCACGCTCTAAACCATGTGTTTTTTTTGGGATTCCCTTCCAACCATCGGGGTTACCTATGCTATGATTTATCAATGAATAAGATCACGATTTCCCGACATGTCACATTTGTAGAGGACAATTTCCCCTTCTCGGACCTCTCCAAATTTCGTGACTCAGATTATGAGTTTTTGGACTCCCTTATTTCTCCCATCATGGCCCCTATTCTCATCCAAGCTCACGGTAGCCCAGCTCCTCAGCCCACTAGACACGGCCCACTCTCCCTCACAAACTCCTCTCCAGCCCACTCCGCAGATGGGCCGCGGATCAGCCCATCAGGCCACTTCTCACCTGCGGACTCGCTTGCCCATTTCGCCATCTTCCCCTTCTTCTCCCTTGATCCAATTTGGATCAATTCCACCTAATGCTGTCACTACTCCTCAATCTCGACGTATAATTCCAGTTCCTTCACATTCTATGACTACTCGTGCTCAAAGTGTGATTTTTAAACCAAATCCGAAGTACAATTTCTCGGCTCAAGCAATTTCTGATCTTCCTAAAAATCCCAAATTAGCCAAACTTGATTCGAATTGGAATGCTGCCATGAATGAGGAATATAATGCTCTTATGAAACAGCATACTTGGGAACTTGTTCCAAGACCGGAAGGGGTGAACATTATTCGATGCATGTGGCTTTTTAAGCACAAATACAGGGAAAATGGTGACTTGGAGAGACACAAGGCAAGACTTGTTGTGAATGGCAAGTCTCAACAGATTGGGGTTGATTGTGATGAGACATATAGTCCGGTGGTGAAACCGGCTACTGTCCGTACGGTTTTGAGCATTGCTATGGGGAGGGATTGACCTATTCATCAACTAGATGTTAAAAATGCGTTTCTTCATGAGGATCTTAAAGAACCTGTCTTTATGCATCAGCCTCCGGGTTTTGTGGACCCTCAGTTTCCTCATTATGTGTGTCGGCTCCGAAAATCTTTGTATGGTCTTAAACATGCTCCTTGGGCATGGTACCAATGATTTGCTAATTATCTCCTTCGGATTGGTTTTGTATGTAGCAAAAGTGATAACTCACTTTTCATTTTCCGACATGGCCGGAATATTGCTTACTTACTCTTATATGTTGATGTCATTTTCCTCACCGCCTCTTCTGAGAAACTAAAATCCGACATCATTGCTCTCCTTCAATCCGAATTTTCTATGACAAATTTGGGTAACCTGAGTTTCTTTTTGGGTATTTCGGTGCATCGTACCAAGGATAGCATGTTTTTGAGTCAGAGTAAGTATGCCGGGGAGATTCTTCAACGAGCTAATATGGCAAATTGCAAAGCCGTAGCCACTCCGGTCGACACCAAATCTAAGCTCGGGGCTCTTGATGGCCCACCTGTTCAAGACCCTTCTCTTTATCGGAGTCTTGCCGGTGCCCTACAGTACCTCACTTTCACACGGCCGGACATTGCTTACGCAGTTCAACAGATTTGCTTGTTCATGCATGACCCGAGGGAACCACATTTTAACGCTTTGAAGCGTATTGTCCGATATCTCCGAGGCACTCTAGATCATGGCATACACTTGTATCGGTCTGCCCCCACGAGACTTGTGTCATACATGGATGCCGATTGGGGGGTTGCCCCGATACTCGCCGCTCTACTTCTGGGTATTGTGTTTATTTGGGTGACAATTTGGTCTCTTGGTCTGCGAAACGTCAGCCCACTTTGTCTCGTTCTAGTGCTGAAGCAGAATATAGAGGTGTCGCGAATGTTGTTGCCGAAGTCTGTTTGCTCCGGAACCTCCTTCTTGAGCTACATTGTCCTTTGCGTAAGGCATCCTTGGTGTATTGTGATAACATCTCTGCGGTGTACTTGTCTTGCAATCCGATACAACACCAACGTACCAAGCACATAGAGATGGACATTCACTTTGTTTGTGATAAGGTCGCTCTTGGCCATGTTAAGGTGCTCCATGTCCCTTCTCCTTATCAGTACGCTGATATCTTCACCAAGGGTTTGCCGCGACAATTATTTCAAGACTTTCGGTCTAGTCTCAGCGTTCGACCTCCTCCTGCTTAGACTACGGGGGTGTGATAGAGATTATGTTACTAATCTCTTCATATTCATATTCTGTTGATATTCTTTGTGTGTAATTAGCATTGATTATACTTCTCTTATTAGGTTTATAATACACCTATATATTTGGATGAATGAGAATGACTCCATCAAGGAGATTCACACAATCTGACAGTTTGATTTGGTTTGGAAAATTGACCAAATTGTATTTTGCGGTTTGGTTTGGTTTAGACTCAAACCGCCCCAAACCAAACCATGTTCACCCCTACCCACAAGACTATATTTCTTCTTATGGAAAAATAACAAACATTAGTCAAAGTGTGACAAATAATGTATAAAAATTAAAAATATAGTAAGTATTTAAAATGGAGGAAGTACAAAACTATTTCGTATAAATAACACGGGTAAGACTTAATGTCATTAAGTTGTAAGAGGCATTCAATTCATAAAGGTCACAAATTATAATTTACATTGGTTTTTTTTTTTCTTTTCTTTTTAATCTAGAAGAGGAATAAAGCCAAATAAAGGAAAAATACAAACAACAAAATAAAAAAAACTACCACGGAGGGATAAAGCTTGGTAAAACCACACCCCTAAAGTCCTCTAAAATTCTACTAAGCTTTCACTGAACTTGATTAAAATCTAGCTGAGTGTTGAAGGACACTATACTTGGTCAATCAATCTGTCGCACGGTTGTCTGGACGATAAACATTGCGTATAATTAGGATAACATTGCTTGTTAAAGATTAAAAACATCTTGAATATACTATTTTTGCGTTATATTATATCTAATATGTATGTAGATCGAGTATAAGCCAATTTCTAAGGAGTACACACTTAATGACTTGATCTAGTATATTTATATTGTACTTGTATGAAACTATGACAAGTTGACAATTGACAATTTTGCGAATTGAGATAATAAAAAAAAAAACAGTCAACTTTGTGGGGCTAAATTCAATATACAACTATACAAGTATTGAATTAATAGTTGAAAAGGAAAGACAAGTTAGAAGCAATATATATATATATATATATATATATATGAATGGGAGGGATCCAGTGAGAATAGGTCCATATGTGTGAATTCTTACTTATATAAGAACTGATTTAAAATTTAGAACATAAGAGTTAAAATTTAGAACATGTGACTCAAATTAAAATTTTGAACATATGAGTAATAATTTAGAACATTTGTGTGAGTAATATGTTTAGAACATCTGATTTAAGAATCAGAACAACTTATTTAAAATTTATAAAATATGCTTTGTGAAATTTTAAACATATGAGTAAAATTTAGAGCATCTGATTTAAGATTATGAACATGTGAATAAAAATTTAGAACAAACTGATGTAGAATATAGAAAGTGTGAGTAAAAAATTTAGACCATACGAGTAAAAAAAATAGAACATACGCTTTAAAATCTGGAACATATAATTAAATAAATTTAGAACAAACGTTTTAAAAATTTAGAACATATAAGTAAAAATTTAGAACATATAAGTAAAAATTTAGAACATATAAGTAAAAATTTTGGAATAAGTTATTTTGAATTTATGACATCAAACTTAATTAGTTTATGGTTTAGAACATGTGAGTACTAAATTTGAACATTTGATATATATATATATATATATAATGCCAAAGAAGAGAGTGAGAGATATTTCAAGTGGTTAGAGCTTCATTCCACTCGATTTCAAGAGATTCTGGTTTTGATTCTCACCCTATCCTTATGGCTCATTAAATACAAAGGCCATGTTTGGCAATTGACTTTTTAATGGTTTTTTGGTTAGCTTTTGACTTTTGGCTTTTGGTTTTTTTAGGTGGTCAAACAGCCAAAAAATATGTTTGGTAATTGGTTTTAGTCAGTGAAAAAGCTGCTTTGAGTAGCTTATTTGTTGGCTTTTGGCTTGTTGGCCCACAAATCATCTAATAAACAGCCAACAACCAACAATTAATTTACCAAACACTTTTATAAACAGCCAGATTAAACAGCCAATTTCAAAAGTCATTATAAACAGCCAAACATTCCAGCTAGTCAAATAAGCCAAGTGAACCAGCCAACCGCCAACAGCCATTTGCCAAACAAGGCCAAAGAAAAAAAATGCTAAAGAAAAAATTAACTTTTTTTTTGACACACCTATAAAATATTTTTAAAAAAACCCCAAATTTGAAACTTTTTTCTTAGTAAACTCTAATATAAAATCAATCGAATATGTTTTCTCGAAACTTGTTATACAAATAAATTCAAGACAATATAATAATTCAAACTTAAAAAGTCAATAAAATCATACTCGCGCGAGAATTATTGATTTGATAGTTTGATTAAACTAATTTCACTTAACGCCGCGTACTACAACGGTATAGTTGGTAAACGGTGTAATCTCATGTGGCTGAACAAGTCTTATTAAGACATTTAGCAAGAGACTAGAGAGCTACCACGTTAACATGCAAACTGACAAACTCGCAAAATTCTATATAAAGGGTGTCATTTGCCACAAAGAAAACACAATCAACCCATCTACATTACGAAAACCCATCTCTTACTTACATCCTTAATTCACCATTTGTACCATCTATTTCAAGCTTACACAATGAACACTCTTTCAGTTTTCATTATTTTTTGTCTCTTAGCCTCCATCTCACAAGCTATAGAACTCGACTTTTGTGTTGGGGATCTTAGTCTTCCAAGAGGACCTGAAGGATATGCTTGCAAAGATCCTACTAAAGTCACAACTGATGATTTTGTATACACGGGTTTCCGTGGTGAAAAAACTCCCAACAACGTGTTTGGGAACAATGTGACATTAGCATTTTCAGATGTGTTCCCAGCCTTCAATGGTTTAGGCATATCTATGGCCAGGTTAGATTTTGCCGTAGGAGGAGTGATACCAGTGCACTCTCATCGTACGTCAGAAGTTCTTGTTTTAGTAAAAGGTTCAATCATTGCAGGATTTATTGATACCAACAACACCGCATACTATAAACGATTAGAAGTTGGTGATGTCATGGTGTTTCCACAAGCCATGCTTCACTTCCAAATCAACGTTGGTAAAACTCCTGCTACCGCTTTTGTTAGTTTGAATGGTGCAAACCCAGCACTACAACTCACTCCTACGTCCTTATTTGCTGGAAATTTACCTGCTGATATTGCCCAGAAAATCACACTTCTGAGTCGTAAGGAAGTAAGACGGATGAAGCGAATGTTTGGCACAGCTTAATATCCATCTATCTAAAGCTAATTCTAAATTATAAGCCCCCAATTTATTTCAATGTCCAACACAATAATTTTATTCTAAATTTAGTGATGATAAATAAAGGGTATTTATATGCCCCTTGTATTCTCATGATTAATATATTTGAGATGTAAATCTTTTTTTTAATACTCCCTCAGCTTTGCCGATCTTTAGTAAGTAGCTTTTACTTTTGAAAATTTTAATTAAATAAGTGTTTGTCCTTTGATTCATCGCATCAATATGTACTAGGGTTCAATTATACCCTGCATGTATAAGTAAGAAAACTGATATTTCTTATATAAAGAATAAAAGAAACAAAACATAAAATAATCAAAGGCTTCAAATGAAAAAATACCATTACAGAAATAAAGTGTGAGAATATTTGGAAGAACAATGAAGAGAAATATAGTTTTGAAATTTGAATTATCTATATATGTCGTAACAGAAATGAATGTAATTTAGCGTAATGGAAGTAATGGAGAGGGGTAAAAATAATTTGAAGTGTATTAATAATGAGTTTTATGTCATCATTTTGCTAAGCAGCTTATTAGCTTTCACTTGGAATCAATATTGGCAGTTATTTCTGAAATTTTTTTAATTTCACCATTTAAATATTTAAACTAGTCACACAATCTCCTTTGACCGTGCAATGATTTATGACTAAGCTATTAAACTTAGTCACACAATATGTTACGTGGAATGTAGTTAGATTCCCATTATAAACTTTCAAATTTTTTTTTTATAATTTTAATTAAGGGAAATTTTCAATGGTACTCTCCAATTTTATAAAATTCTCAATGGTAAACAAAGTTTTATGAAATTATCTTTGGTACTCACTAATTACCATTTCTGATTCAATGATAACATTAATGATATAAATATGCAATTATAAGCTAACCCTAGTTAACTAAAGGCATAATGACTACTATAACCTTATTAAAAAAAAACCCAGCCACCCTAACCTAAACCCACTGCCAGCCCCCTCCCCTGCCAGCGGCAGCCGACGATCGTCACCCACCTTCCCCTTGTGCTGGTGACCCTCTCCTTCCCTTCCCCTGACGCCGGTGACTTCTCCTTCCTCAATTCCCTCATATCTCCTTCCCCGATTCCCTCATATCTCCTTCCTGATTCTCTCTTCCCTCAATTTCCATCCCAACCCAGCCATCCCTTGGCACAGGCGTCGCAGCCGCACTGAACCAAACTTCATTACCGCCCAGGAACCGAAATCCGCATCAATTCAAGGCAGCGGCAAAATTGACCCGATTCGTTGAAGCCGGTTTGATCTTCATCGAAACCATCGGAGGAAGTAGCAAGATAATCTGGTTTGGAGCAATCTTTGTCGGGTATGAAGATGGCTTTGGTGGTTGGGTAAGATTAATCAAAGGAGAGAGAAGGGTCAGCTGTGATTTCGCCGGTGGAATTGTCGAGTTGACTGATTTCGACGCGGTTTGGGCCTTTGGGGTTGTTAGTTAGGGGTATGGTGTTTCATGGTGAGGGGGTTGCTCGGAAAATGGAGTGGAAAGGGGGGAAGGTGGCCAAATGGTGGCCGAATTTTATGGAGGAAGAGGTTGGCGGGCAGGGATGGCAGAGGGAAGAAGGGGTGGTGGGTTTTTGTTCAATAGGGGTATTTTAGACATTTTTCTTTTATCTCCCTTTTAAAACTTTAACCATGGTTAAGATATTCTTAAAATACTTAACTAATGTTACCATTGAATTAGTTTTACAACTTATAGGTTACCAATGATAATTTGATATTTTAATGTTTACCATTGAGAATTTTATAAAATTGGAGAGTACCATTGAGAATTTCCCTTTAATTAAAGCTATTAAAGATATTAATGACTAAGCTAATGTAATGCATGGCAAACATAAAATACAAAATGGTGCAATTTAAAATATAACAAAGGAAGTATAAGATACCTAGCAGGTCTTACATTTACATTAAACATTTTTAAAATTATTTTTTAAAATATTCTATAAAAAATACTCCCTCCATCCCCTTTTGATAGTCCCAAAATATTTACCCAATTTGCTTTTTGCAACAACCATTAATATTAAATGGAACAAGTATTTACTTTTTAATAGGACGAATGAATAATGCAAAAAATAGAAATGGAACAAGTATTTAAAAACGGAGAGAGTACTTTTTTACTTTCTCTCTCTAATTTTTTGCATACCCAATGTCAATTTACTTTTTCAATGCACTTTAACTATTCTTCTTTGTGTTTATTAATTCCCGTGAAAAATGCCCATAAGGGACTATCAAAAGGGGACGGAGGGAGTATAAGATACCTAGCTGGTCTTACATTTACATTAAATATTCTTCTTCAAAAAAAAAATATTTTTAAAATTATTATTTATAAGAAAATTATTAATCCCCCCATTTCCAAAAGAACGATCCTTTTGGATTGATTTAGCAGGTATTAAGAAAGTGAAAAAGATAGTAGTTTTTTTTTTACAAGAAAAAAAAATAGTAGTAAAAGTACATTGGAAAGTTAAATTCATATGGAGTTTGCAAAATAGTAGAGAGAGAAAGTAATAAAATTACATGAAAAGCAAACTTTACATGGGGAAGCTAACTTTGCACAGATATTAGGTCAAATAAGAGAGCATTTTAACACAATTGAAATGATTGTTTTGGGGCTAGATTTAGGTCATAAGGATCATTCTTTCGGGACGAAGGGAGTATATAGATTTTCTTTGTTCACATATAAAGAAGGAAATGTGATAGATTAGTACTCCATCCGTTTTTAAATACTTGTTCCATTTCTCTGTGTGCGGAGTTTTAAGAGAAATTGGAAAAAGCAATAAAATATGGAGTTAGTGGGGTAATTGAGAAAATAAAAAATTGTAAAATACAAAAGTAGTGTAAGAATAGGAGGAGAGAGAGTATTATGTTGGGTCCACTAAGTGTGAGAAATGAATTAAATATTGTAAAAGCTTTCCAAAAAATTAAAGGAAATAGAGCAAGTATTTAAAAACGGTCAGAAAAAAAAAGTGGAGCAAATATTTAAAAACCGATGGAGTAACTCTCTTCAACAAAAGCCACTTATTAATCAGTCTAGGGTTGCGCCCGTGTTGGTCTCTTTTTCCGCTAAAATAGTTTTATGTCCAGTATTATTGATCTATATGTACTGTTCTTTTTATGTTAGTTCTACATACTTATTGAAAAACAAACATTAATCATCTTAGGTTCACGTAATCGCCGGTCTCAACTTACTTTTGGTTAAAAAAAAGTTTTATCTTCGTTAATATTATTAGGACAAGGGTGGAATCGGGTTAAGGTCTGCTCGCCAATCAAATTCAGCTTTTCTCACAAAGCTAGGGTGGAGAGTAATTTCAGAACCAAATGCACTTTGGTCTAGAGTACTGAGACAAAAATACTGTAAGGGGCGCTGTGATCTTGAGATAACGACAAATATGTCAAATGTGTGGAGGGGGATCACTGATAATGCAGGATGGATTAAGAAAGGATCGACTGTTGCTTTGGGTAATGGTCTCTCTGCTTTGTTCTGGGATCACTTGTGGGCAACTGATTCTCCCTTAAGAGACTTGTGTTGACTCGAATGAACAATACAAGAGGGGGGTGAATTGTATTGTGGAGGAACTAGGGTAATTTTTGCGGAATTCTTAAAGAAATTTAAACAAAAGCTTTAAAGTGCAAGAGAGATTTTACGTGGAAAACTTCTTGGCCCTAATCAAGAAGAAAAACCACGACTACAAGGGATTTTAAACTAAACTCTTAATAATAACAGGGCAAACAACCTATTACAAATTAAGACTTTAAACTCAAGTTCCTCAACGAACTTTAGTTCCCCCTCAACTGATCCCTCAATCAGTTGAGCTCTCGAATCTCTCTCTTTCTCCTTGCTTCACTCAAAGAAATTACACACTCTAGAGTTTACCCAAACTCTACCCCAATACAACTCAAGATAAAACTTCTAAGATTCTAAGTACAAAGACACTCAAGGATTTAAGTGGATTTTTGACTCTTTTAGAAAAGCTAAGAATTGTAATGCTCAAGTGTACTTTTCAAAACATAAAACTAATCCTATTTATACAGGAGGAAGGCAGTTGAAACTTTTACGTTTGCCTTAACTCCCACTACACCACAACTTCCATTAATTTAGGAAGTGTAGTTCATGGATGCTTGGGCAGCAAGCTGAAGCATATACAAGGAAGTGGTTTACTGCTCCCTTAATTTTCTCAACCTCCTTGACCAAGTAAAAGATCCGTTTTCAAAAGAGTTTTTACCAAGTCAGATTTTCCAAGATAATAGGTTAAAATCAAAACAGAATATCCTTTTATAAATAAGATATTTTTGACTAAAAAAGATAATTTTCCGAAATAATATTAAAACCAGTTAAAGTATGGAAAATAAAATCTTTTATAAAATTAAATCCACTTAAATCCTATCAATTAACAATGTACTTAGCAAAAATACAATAAGCCTAAAATAAACAATAAAGATATACAATAGAATCCTTGAAATACTGTGAAGCTTCGACTCTGGAGCTTCAGTTCCTCACTCAAGGAACTTGGCTTCTGATTGTCTTCTATACTTATCCACAGCTCTTCCTTAGACCTTGTTCCATGCTCCATTCTGACTCTAGAACTTCGTTGCATATAAAACCTGTCCATACATCAAAGCTAATAGACAAAAGCTAAAGCTCCTAATGGGTTTGCTTAGATTCCTTGAGTCATCATCAAAACTTAAGATCAACAACTTGATCACTGCCCCAATTCCAAGTGAATTAGATGGGGTTATGGTGGCAGAGATGTGGGATGTGGGAATGGGGTGGAAATGGGATAAATTCACCAACCTACTACCCCAATTCACCCTGCAACAGATTGCAGCACACTCCTTGGTTGAAGACCCTAATGCAACTGACATCAGGTACTAGAAGGGTTCGAAAAATGGCGGTTTCTCCATCAAGTATGCTCTGAAAATTATGCGCAACAATGAGCAAGTAGCTACGGACTCTAAGTGGGAATTGGCTTGGTCAATTCCCATACAGCAGAGGAATCGTGTCTTTTTGTGGTTGCTGCTTCATGATCGTGTCCTGTGCAATGCTAATCGAATGAAAAGAAGCTTGACTGATGATCCCCGCTGTAAAAGATGCACGCATAATACTGATGAGACCTTATTGCACATGCTCCGTGACTGCCCTGCTTCACGAGCAATCTGGAAAAGTGTTGGTAGTGCTGCTAACTACCCCTCCTTCCTCACTGGTGATCTTCAGGTATGGCTTAAAAAAAATAGTGAAGCTAATGGTCTTATTTACTCTAAAAAATGGCCAATCTGTTTTGCCATTACTCTTTGGTGGATATGGAAATGGAGAAATTGTGAAAGCTTTGGAAGAGAGGCAGAAATCCCATTTGATAAAGGTGTTTTTATTCATCAAAGGGTGGATGAAACTGTATATGCCTTCTCTGATCAAGAGAGCTCTAATGTTGGGGCTATCAAAAGACCTAAGCAGGAGGTGTTAGTGAAATAGATTGCTCCACCTACTGGTTGGGTTACCTTGAACACAGATGGTGCTTCTAAAGGCACACTAGGACAGGCAGGGGGAGGAGGTATCTTGCGCGATTCAGATGAATGCTTCTTGAAGGCCTTTACAGCAAGTATAGGGGTGTGCAATGCTTACAAAGCAGAACTACAAGCAGCACTTTATGGACTTTAGATGGCAGTTGATATGCGTGTACGGAAGCTAACACTAGTAGAAAATATCAAAAAGGCACCCCCTAATTGGCACCGGTTCAGTCCAAACCGGTGCCAAAAATGGCCTACAAAATTGGTGGGAAGGTAAACCAGAGTAATAGGCACCGGTTCACTTCAAACCGGTGCCAAAATGACAAAGGCCACTGGTTTGAACCGGTGCCTTTGTGAACCGGACCTTTTATTATTAAAAAAAAAAACCGGCCTTATCTCTCCTTAAAACCCTAAAACTTAGCTTGCTCCTTCTCTCTCCTCAGTCCGCCTCTTTCATCACTCTCTCCTCTCCCTTCTCTCTCCTCTTCTCTCCCTTCTTGCTCTATCTCCTCTGCCTTCTTGCTCATCTCTTCTCTTTCTCTTCGAACCTCTTCTCTTCTCTTCGAACACCACCGCAACAACACCTACTCGATCTCTCCTCTACTCTCCCTTAAACCACAACAACAACAACATGCAATAATAAAATGCAACAACAACAACATGCAACAACAACAACATGCAACAACAACACCGCAAAGCCGCCGCCACCATCGTAACATCAAGTTGATTTGGGTTTGTTCGAAGTTAATTTTGGGTTTAATTGATTTGATGAGTGTCTTCGAAATTTTTTATGGGTTTCTTTAAAAAAAAATTGTTTAATCCACCACGAATTAAATTTTGTTTTATTGATTTATTTTTTATTTTAATCGATTTAAATTTGTTTTTTTTAAAATGATTTTTGATTTTCTAGTTTGGTTAATCAATTTTTGAACTTATTTTAATTCGATTTTTTTTTAATTTCTGGGTTTTTTTGTCGAATTTTCTTTTTTATTTTCTGGGTTTTAATTGATGTTCTGGGTTTTAATTGATTTTCTGGGTTTTATTTTCTAGGTTGTAATTGATGTTATGCGTTTTTGAACTGATTTTGTTTATTTTTCTTTTTTTTTTCCGATTTTCTGGGTTTTTTTTTTGGATTTTTGAACTGTTTTTTTTTTTCGATTTTCTGGTTTTTTTTTTTTTTTTTCCGATTCATTTTCTTTTTTGAATTGATTTTCATTTTCATTTTCTGGGTTACTCTTTTCTTTTTTTCGATTTTCTTTTTTTTTTCGATTTTCTGGGTTTTTGAATTGATTCATGTCAATCGATTCATTTTGGTTGTTTTAATTGGTGCAAGTATATGGATTTAATTCTTAAATTGAAGAATCAACATGCAAGTATATTGATCTTAAATCGAAGAATCAACTAATTTTTTTTTTATTTATATTGTAATTTTTTTTAATTTATATGTTTAATTTTTTTATTTTGATTTAGCTGTTGTAATTTATTTTGCCCTATACTGTAATTTTTTTTTTTATTATATAATTGAACAGATTTGATTATATTAATATTTTGGCACTTTTGGTTATTATTAAGATTTGATTATACTGTAATTTTTTTTGATTATATATATTAATATTATAATGAACAGGTTTGATTATATTAATATTAATACAGATCTAATTTTTAAGAAAAAAAAATTTATTATGTTGGCACTTTTGGCACCGGTTAACCGGGGCCAAAAAAAGGAATCATAAATTTTTTTGGTACTTTTTGGCATCGGTTAACCGGTGCCAATTTCAACTTTTGGCACCGGTGCCTTTTTAAACCCCTTTTGGCACCCCCCACATTGGCACCGGTTCAAACCGGTGCCTTAGGCCGGGTTTGAACCGGTGCCAAATTCGTTTTTTCACGTAGTGTAATCCTTCAAATGGATAATGCGGCTTGTGTTGAAGCGTTCAAAAGCAAAGAGTAGCAAGGAGGCGAGTGTGCGCATATTCTCAAGAAGTGTCATAGTTTGTCTAAAGTCTTTGGTAGTAACTTTCATGTCTTTCATTGTTATAGGGAGGGGAATAGAGTGGCTGATGTGCTAGCTAACTTAGGTGTTGCTCAGCAGGATCGTGTGACTTATTTTGATGCGCCTCCTATCGAAATAAGGCACGTTCTTAGGGAGGATGTGTTAGGAGTGGCACTGCCACATTTTATTGCTTAGCTTGTTTTTTATTTCTTTCGGGCTTTGCCCTCATTTGCACCCAAAAAAAAATTTATTAGGATATTTTGTGAAAAACTACCTTATAAAACACTTTTTATTTTTATTTTTTTATTTTTTTTTTTGCGAAAAACTACCTAATAAAAAAATGTTGTAAGAAACTACCTTATAAAAGGGTAAGTATTGTAAGAGATTACCCTTGGTCGAAAAGTTCTTTCTGCTCTTTACAATTTTATAATATTTCTTTTCACTTTAACTAAATGTTTTTTTACATTTTTATATAATATTCTTTTCGCTTTTTTTTTTTTTTTTTTTTTTGGGATACACTTATACACCATACGCATCGTGTATCCGCTTGCATGAACCACGCATTGGCATTTGAGATAAAAGATTTAATACCTCTAGTCTCTTGCTTTTAGTCAACTTTATGGGGCAGAAAGCCGAATACCGAATATACAAAAAAAGTACGGAGTAAATAATTTATTAGTCATTCATATCTTTGAGGAGGAAAGTCAAGCCAAAAGCCGATGTACTGTGCGGATATCATTGTAACAATAAAAAAAAATATTCCAGAAAGAAAAATAATTTCAAGCCTCTACTATAAATTGAAATGATTTTTAAAAATTAATCAAAAGAAAATAGAATACTACCCTAAGAACAATGTGTGATCATAGGAAAAGGAACTAATTAACATTGAATACAGTAATTTATGCATGGATTTGACATTTAATTTCAAATTAATTAATACAAAGTAATAATTTAGGAAATATATGAAATATTCCGTATTTGATTGAAGACAGTTTTTTTTTTTAAAAGGAAATTTTAATGGAAGACCTTAGATGACTTATCTTGTTCTGTACTTTTAACATCAACGAAAAAGGAACATCAAACTAAAAGAACAAGAAGAAAAAGAAGAAGTCTATGGATAAATATAAAATCAACGGATTAATAAATGCAAACTATGAGTCAATAAAATGCTACTAAAAAATAATTGAATTGGTTCTCTTAAATAATCAAATTCCTCTTTAAATTATTGCATACGTCATTTTTATTATTTTTAAAGCCGCGTACAACGGTTAACTGTCTCATACATTTGCATGCTTGGCCAATCCTATATAAAGGGTGTCAATTGCCGCAAAGAAAGTACAATCAAACCATCTACATTACAAAAACCTACCTCTTACTTGTCTCATTTTATCCACCATTTGCACCACCTATTATTTCTAGCTTCTAACAAAATGAGAAATCTTTCATTTTTCTTCGCCTTTTGTCTGTTATCCTCTCTCTCACATGCTATAGAACTCGACTTTTGTGTCGGAGATCTTAGTCTTCCTAGAGGACCAGAAGGATATGCTTGCAAAGATCCTGCTAAAGTCACAACCGAAGATTTTGTTTACACAGGTTTTCGTGGTGAAAAAACTCCCAATAACGTTTTTGGGAATAATGTGACATTAGCATTTTCAGATGTGTTCCCAGCCTTCAATGGTTTAGGCATATCTATGGCCAGGTTAGACTTTGCGGTGGGAGGAGTTATCCCAGTACACTCCCATCGTACGTCAGAAGTTCTTCTTTTGGTAAAAGGTTCAATCATTGCAGGATTTATTGATACCAATAATACTGCATACTATAAAAAATTAGAGGTTGGGGATGTGATGGTATTTCCACAAGCAATGCTTCACTTTCAAATCAACGTTGGCAAAACTCCGGCTACTGCCTTTGTTAGTTTGAATAGTGCAAACCCAGCATTACAACTCACTCCTACATCCTTATTTGCCGGAAATTTACCTGCTGACATTGCTCAGAAAATTACACTCTTGAGTCGTAAAGAAGTAATGCGAATGAAGCAAATTTTCGGCACAGCTTAAGTAATATCATTTTTAAGCTAATCTTATATTCTAAGCTACCGATTTATCTCAGTGTCCAACTTATTTATTTCTTAATAGTATGAAAATAAAGGGTATATGAATGCCCATTGTATTACTCATAGCTTATCCCTCTCTTACATTTCATGTTACGTAATTAATTATTAATTTTAATGATTGTATACTTCTTATAACCTCATGATCAATAAAAATGTATTTATCTATTTGTTATACTTCTTCGACCTTTATTCTTCATATGTACCTTCTTTTACTTATTCTTTTCAGATATTGCATGACCAAATTTTAAAATTAATATAAGTAACTAGGATTCAAAATCTACGTCCTCCTTTCAAAACCCATACCCTACACCGCCACCGTTAACCACACAAACCCAAATAACCTATATGATCAAAACAATTATATTATTTCATGATAATTAATTTCAACGAAACAAAAAAGAATTATGCTAGTTCCTCATAATTTATACTACGTACATTGTTTGACTACGACTTAATCAAAGTCTTAACTTTCAATCTGTACACTAACAACGCTTAACATATAACCTTAGTTACAAGGGAAACTAACCCACACCAACACGGCAACACCCCACATCACCATAAAAAATAACCCACACCCACACGAAAATCAACCACAAACACGACAATTAATATTTGTTATAAAGTCAAAGATTCAAGTAGTGCACTACCATGTGTTGATGTGTGCAGTTAAATTATTGCAAACATTCATGAACAAAGGGAATAATTAATGTTCGTAAAATTGTCTTGAAAACCATAATAAAATTGAATTACTCCTCCATATTGCATATATAACATTCTATCAATGTTGTTTAGAGAGGTACAAGGGCGGGTGATGAGAATCGATGTTAGGATTGTAGGTAAAAATATTGTAAAATTAGAAAAAATGTAGAATAAAATGTGGGCCGAGTTTGTTTAATGTAGGTGAAAAGCTATGACTTGTTTAGAACACTGTCTTAGAAGTAAAATTTGCTCCGACTATGGTGCAATCGAAGATGACGTTTCCCCCCAAGATTTAACACAGCGATCTCTCTTAATGTGCACTCAAAAAGAGAGATTAGGAACTCAAAATATGGTCAGAACTAAATTAGAGGAAAACTGAAAGAATAAAGAAAGAGGAAGGAAATCGGTTTTTTTTTTATATATATATTTTGAAAAGCCACGAAAACTCAGTTTTATAGAAGAAAAAAATCGTAACTGATGGAGAAAATCAAACCACAAAATAAATCGTGGGAGAAAAATCAAGGATAGCTATAAACATTCAAAAAACCGAGTCAAATGTTGTTGCGGGCTTCATAACTGAACGATCTCATAAAAACTGGAATGTCAGTTATGACTTGGCCCAAAAAGGTAGCCACACCGCGCACGTGCCATGAACACAAACCGAATCGGCCGCACGCCGGTGGTGGCGCGCGCGTGGGGATGCCCCCTTCTAGCCCACAACAATAGGGAAACCACTTCAAACATCAAAGTAGAAGCACACATATTTAAACCAAGTAAAACCTTCCTTATCCCACCAATGTAGGACAAAGAGTTTTTCTCCAAAAAAAATAAAAAGCTTCCTTTGCATTATTTCTAACAAGGATCACCTGAAACCGGGAGGAGAGCTCTAATAACTTCAGCCATCCCTCGCTCTCATGTATTAATTTATATGAGAATGAAGGTTCTTGTTCTTAATTTAATTTGTTTATGTCATACAAACTCCATCACTATACTATTTTCTCGCAATCATAGTTTAATACTGTTAAATATACAATCAAAACAAAATTGGCTGAAACACCCTAAATTATGGCTTAGGTGCACTGAGCACCCTTAACTTTGCGTAGTAGGCTAGTAGCCAAAACACCACCAACTATAGTGTTTGGTGCGACGCATGCCTTAAATGAAAATTTTAAGTCACTTATCTCATCGGAGGAAATGAATTTTCCCTCTCCAGAACAATTTAAAGAAATTGTGAAACATTTCATCTCCACTTGACACACGCAGATGCACCTCTTCCGATAAAATAAGTGGCCGAAAAATTTCATTTAAGGCACGCGTCGTACCTAACACCACAATTATGCAAAGTTCAGGGTGCTCAGTAGTGTAGCTAAACCATACTTTAGGGTATTGCGGCCAATTTTGCCTACAATGAATGATTTTAAATTGTATATATAAACATCAAAATTACATGATCAATGAATGGTTACTATTATAATTTTTTTAGGTGTTACTACCAAATATATAAAAAAAAAAAAATCAAAACAAAGCGCCACTAATAATGATAATTTTCTTACTACATTTAAAACAATTAACGTTACTAAAATAAAAGATTTTCATAGAACTTCCAATTTTATAATTCATATATAGTTTGGTCATATAATTCAATTTACAATATAATTTTACCCGATTTTACATATTTCTCCTAACTTTTATCTTTTAAATTAAAACATATATCACTTAACTAGGAAAACCCTTATAAATTTACAATTTGTTGACAAAGTTATTAAAATATATGTATTTTGTTAATTATATATATATATATATATATATATATATATATATATATATATATATTGAGAAGGTATGTAGAAGTAAATATATGGTGAGTAAACAAATATGAAGCGTATTTTCTACTAATAACTAATTTTTTAACTTATATATAAACAGATTCAATGAAACTTAAGTTTGAAGTCTTAATTATGCATGTTCGTAAAATCTGAAAATGCAACTGATTCAATTCTTAAATCCCCTGTTGAATCATAGTATAATCTTGATTTTGATAAACTATGCCAACAAAGTAACAAGTGGCTTGACTTAAAAAGTTTAATTAGGCATGAAATTCCATAGAGACACATGTAATGGATCAAAATGTTACCAAAATAATAAATTAAATTAAATTAAAAAAAACAAAAACAAAAACTTGAATATAAGACCAGACAACGGACACACTATTTTTGTCTTTTTGACGTTATATTATTTCTAATTTATAGATAGATATAAGCCAATTTCTAAAGGGTATACTCTTGATCAAGTATATTTATTGTATGACAATTTAACAATTATGTGAATTGGAAATAAATAAATGAATAAATAAAAAGTCTACTCTCATACTCTGGGCATGTAGTCAACGTCGTCGGGCTGAATAATTGAATATCCCTAAGATACCAAAATAATAATCTAATATCATATCATATCTCTAATATCCTTCACTCCTCTCCCTTTTCTCTTCATCTCTACAATCTTTTTTTCCTCTTGATCTCAGTTGTGAATCTTTGTAGGGGCTTTCACTGGTGTTCTTTCCGGTGGTAAGGCCCAAAAATTTAAAAATTGCTTTCAATAAACAGTTCTCATCCTTGAGATGATGATTTTTCTCTTGAGTTTATTTTCTTTTTATGTTTCTATGCATGGTAAGAGTTGAAGATCTAGGGTTTCATATTGTCTACAAGAATCCAGAGGACCACATGAATATTTTTACTCAAACGACTATGCATCTGTGAATTTGAAGCCGAATTAGTGCGAATTCACAGATTGTATTGCTTCAGATAAAGTTTTTTATAAAGGCCATTGTTAATCAATTCTACGATGTATTTAGTTAGGTGTGTACTTGTGCTGGAATTCTTGATTTCTTAAGAACTATATGTAAGTGTCGTTTGACAATATTTTATTAATGAAATCCCTTTTTCTTATTGTCAAAAAAAAAAAGCTAGACTTGCAGTTAGGCCACGAGACATTAGCACTTGACATTTCAGTTTTTCGTCATGTGTCGAGCCACATAGGCAACAAATAGGTATTATTATGACACATGTAATGCTAAGTGAGCGAATTTTAGATAGCTTTTCTCAAGATAAAATGTCGTATAGTGTTATATTATTGATAAACCTTTAATATTTCATATCTACAAATTAATTATAACATTTAATAAATATCTTATAACTTAGTACTATTTTCATCATAAAATTCGTTTAAAAAAGTTCTTTAAAATGAGATCCATTAATGAAATATATTTTATTAAAAAATAGGAAATCGGTAAAGATAAGTTTTAGTCGGAAAAATAATTTTAGTTGGGTAAAAATACTTTTAGTTCATTAGAAATAATTTAAGTGCATGCAATAAAAAAATATCAAGTTAATAATAACATATTTATCTATTTACAAATAAAACTATAAATTTAAAAGTACACTATTATATAAATAAGCGGTATGATATTTTATGTCTAAATACTTTACATTATCAAAAATGGTTATATGATTGTATTTAAGCTAAAGAGTTTAGGACAATCCGGTCATCGTTCGGGCACAAAACTAGTATATATAAAGGGGAGTTTTTCCCGAGTTTTTAAAGTGCCACATAGGATTTTAACTTTTTAAAAAGTAATTATTAGAGTGCCATTGAAAATTAATTAAAACGCTACAATCGGATAATGCCGCATTAGATTATTTTTTTAAAGCGCTACATAAGCTTATAATAATAAATAAATAAATAAAAAACTGCTATGTAGGATTAATGATTTTAAAATGCTACAATAGGATTATATATGTCACGAAAGATTAATTTTAGAGCGTCACATAGGAAAAAGATATATTTTAGCCAATGAAAAAAGAATTGCAATTTATTTAAATAAAAAATTTATATTAATTATAAAAATAAAATCAACGTGTTTTTTGTGTGGTTGGCCATATCGTGTGGCCGGTTGAGACACACCCAAACACTGATCGAGTTAGTAACCCCTAATCGTCTGAGTAACCCTTGATCGATTGAGGTACCCTTGACCAACCAAGTAACTTCTAACCAATTAATCTAGACAGAGAGCTGCCACGTAAACATGCAAACTCGGCAAAAATACAATCCACCCATCTACATTACAAAAACCTATCTCTTTATTACATCCTTTATCCATCATTTGTAACACCTATTTCTAGCTTAATATATGAACACTTTCGAATTTCGTTTTCTTTTGTCTCTTAGCCTTTGTCCCGCAAGCCATAGAACTCGACTTTTGTGTTGGGGATCTTAGTCTTCCCAGAGGACCTAAAGGATATGCTTGTAAAGATCCTGCTAAAGTTACAACTAATAATTTTGTTTATATAAACAGGTTTTCGGGGTGAAAAAACTCCTAAGAATGTTTTTGGAAACAATGTGACATTAGCATTTTTGGATGTGTTTCCAGCCTTTAATGGTTTAGGCATATCTATGACCAGGTTAGACTTTGCCGTAGAAGGAGTGATCCCAGTACATTCCACCGTACGTCTGAAGTTCTTATTTTGGTAAAAGGTTCAATAATTGTTGGATTTATTGATACCAACAACACCACATACTATAACAGATTAGAGGTTGGTGATGTCATGGTTTTTCCACAAGCCATGCTTCACTTCCAAATCAATGTAGGTAAAACTCCGGCTACCGCATTTGTTAGTTTGAACGGTGCAAATCCAGCACTACAACTCAATCCTACCTCCTTATTTGCTGGAAATTTACCTGCTGACATTGCCCAGAAAATAACACTCTTGAGTGATGTTAGTTGAGACGGTTAATACAAGAGGGGGGTGAATTGTATCGAGTTCTTACTGACTACTTTCGCGGAATAATAAAACAATGCATAAAGGAACTTGCAAAGACACGCAAATTTTACTAGGCAACCTTCCAGGGCCCAACTGGATGTAAAACCTCCACCCTACCTTAGGGATTTCAAACACAAACCACTTCACTGTAATAGGGCAAACACCAAGTTACAACCTATTAAACACAGACCTTTATTCACAAGTTCCACACTTACTACTCGGTAGGACCCTATCCTACCCAACCAAGTCTGTACACTTAGATTCACTTGTACTGCCAAAGTACAGAACTCTCTGCTTCACACTAGAAGCTTACACAATTTGTATATGCAATGTAAAAATAACAAACTCACCCAAATAACCCAACCAATAAAAATGTATGACACCTAGTATATGATAGACAAGCTATGCACGAAATTCGAAACTAATATGACAAGTTAGAAGCTTGGTAAACTTACTCAATTAATGCTCAGTGATTTCTCCACGCATAAACTCGCAAAAACCTTAAACCATTTCGATCTCTACTATTTATAAAAGTAAGACTTGTATAGCAAGTAGGTTTTCTAAAAGATAAATAAGTTAACTTAACTTATCTTTAAAACACGTTTTTATGAAAATCATATTTGAAGAAAATCTTTTTCGGAAAATAAGATAGAAAGATATTGTTAAAAAGAATCATATCTTTTAACAAACCGATTTTAAGAAATAAAACCTTTTAGAAAATATTTTCTAAAATCTATCTTTTATATTTTCCTTAATAATTTATTTACCAAGCAAACTTGCCACGTTTCTAATAAATCTCGTGCATTAACCTACTTAACATATTAACAATAATCTAGAAGATAAAAACCTTAGCTAAATTAAATTGCTGCGCCGCGCTTTTGTACAGGTAGGTTACTTGGGCTTCACATAGACTAAGTTCCTTTAGGGACCTTAGCTTGCTGGCTTCAAGTTCCTGTTAGGGAACGTTCCTGTTAGGGAACGTTCCTGTTAGGGAACTCAGTTCTTGTTAGAGAACTCTTCTTCTTTTCTGTTTAACTTTTTGTATAAAGATCTCCTCATGTCTTCTTAGTTCCAGTTACTTCTTCCATCACCACGATCAACTTCACCTAAACCAATCAAACACTTGAAAACCTTTATTAGATGAGTTTGCTTTAGTTTATGTTCCTCATCATCAAAACCTTTAAGTTTCAACAAGTGATAAGAAAGTAATGCGGATGAAGCAAGTGTTCGGCACTACGCGCTTAATATTCATCTTAAGCTACTCCTGTATTCTTTATACTTATTTTTAAATTCTCGGTTTATTTAATTTCTTTTTTTTTTGACAAAGGATAAAAGGACATAACCTAAAACAAATTACTGCTAAAGCAAATGAGATGGACAACAGCTTCCCTTACAATTTGGTGCGCCCTGTGAACGCGTGCCCGATCAGCTTTATAAATACTACACTGGTGGAAGTTAGACCCTACCCGTTGGATTTGTTGCACCAGCCATAAATACCGGATATCCCCTTGTCCATCGCCGCGCAGAAGAGTGACCAGATTGTAAGAATATGTAAACAGATTAAACGATTGAATGCCTGCATTTGAAGCCCATTGCAAGGCATAGTAACAGGCTAAGGCTTCCGAGTGAAGAGAAGAGGAGCAAAACCCAAAACTACTCCCACCAACAATCCTATCATCTAGAGGATCTGTATTGTCGAGACACCAACCCATTCCTGCTTGTTGTGTGTCTTTGAACCAAGAACCATCTACCTGAATCGTTAAGAATGATGAGCTTGAGTGGTTGTGCCCTAAATGGGCTACATGAAACCCAGGCGGGGGCAAACCCGGGAGATCAGCAGGAGAGAGAGAAAGCTCCCTCCATGTGTCCACGTCCATATAGATAGTATGAGAGTGAAGAATATCCACTAGTTGCAGATCAAAGGGTCTTGTGACAGAAGTGTCAGGATTGAAAACCATGTTATTTCTAAATAACCAAAGACCCCATAGAGTACCAACAAAGGTGCTAATAATGGGACTGAAAAGTCCATCCTGACTAATGAAAATTCGGATATAGTCTTGGATCCAATCTGAAAGAGAAAGGTGTCCATGTAATTCTGAATGGATGCCCAAGGCACCACTCCTCCAAGTTGTTTTTGCAATAGTGCAATCTCAGAACAGATGGTTGAAATCTTCCTGCTGTGTACTGCATTGATCACAGGACACATCCTGTATGGGAACCCCCCTGCGTTGAAGCTCACTTTTGACCGCTAGACCGTTGTGGAATAACTTCCATAAAAATAGTTTCCACTTTGGATGTAACTGCAGGGACCAAAGGATTTTCCAAAACGGACTTACTGAATATGAAGTAAGCGGCTGAGTGAGCATTGCATAACCTGTCTTAACCGAGTAATTCCCTGACATAGTGCTTGCCCAAAAGCGGAATTCCTCCTTCTACAAAGCTGGAAATTCCATGGAAATAATTGTGGAAGCATCCGCCGGTATAAAACACTGATGTACTTTTTCCACATCCCAAGTGAGGGTCTGAGGAAGAATGAATAAATTAACTGTCCAATCCTTTTCAGTGGCGAGGAGGACCCCTGGGTGGGAGGTAGGCGATTTACCATTTACCCAATTTGAACTTCCAGCTAGAATGGAATTGCCAATGCCGACCTTCCAATTGCACCCCGTTGACAAAAGAGCATCCGCATGAAGCAGACCGCGAAGACCGTAGGACTGTCGACCCGAGTAGCGTCTTTCCTGAGAAGGAGTTGGAGACAAGAAGCGAGCACGAGCAGAATAAACCTTGGAGATGAGAAGCTGAGGGTGGGTAACAATTCTCCAAACTTGCTTCATAAGAAGATCTTTATTTAGAGTTGAGATACACCGAATTCCTAACCCACCCATTCCTCGAGGAAGATGCATCTTCCTTTTCCCTACCCAATGCATTCCCTGAATTCCGGAGTGGGACCAGAAAAATTTCAATAATAAGCTATCGATTTTCCCAGTAATTGAGGTTGGGATTTCAAAGCATGAGAGGAGATGAGAAGCCATGGCCACCAAGATGGAGTTAATGAAGATTAACTTTTGTGATTGCGAGAGTCTGACAGCATTGAGAGTTGTTACGCGGGCAACAATTTTGTCGATAAGAAATTGGAAGCAATATTTTTTCTTTACCATGAAATCAATGGGGGATCCCAGATGATGATCAAACCCTTGAACTTGTGTCATACGGAAAATCGCTTTAAATTCATCCTAAGCCAACGTAGTAGTGTTAGGACTGAATTTAATCAGAGACTTATTGAGATTCAGCTGTTGACCCAAAATCTTAGTAAAGCGATGAATAATCTCTATAATATTCGTACAAGAAGGAGCAGACGCTCTGAAGAAGACCATCGCATCGTCAGCAAAGAAAAGGTGGGAAATAACAGGACTTTACCTAGAGTTTTTTATTCCTTGAAACAAATGCAAATCCTGACCCAAGTGTAGCATTCTGGAAAGAACATCCATGCAGAATAGAAAGAGGTAAGGGGATAACTGATCCCCCTGACGGAGGCCACAGTTAGGCTTAAAAGCCTCAGAAGTATTACCATTGATTAGTGATTTATAGGATACTGTGGAAATGCACTGGTGAATCATTTGGAGCCATCTGGCTGGGAACCCATAGGCTTGAAGCACCCGTAGAAGGAAACTCTAGTGAACTCTGTCATAGGCTTTACTCATATCGATCTTGAGTGCAGCAATAAGCCAATTAGTACCAGTCTTGGAAGAATTGATTTTCTCCATTAATTCATGGGACACTAGAATATTATCTGAAATAACCCTCCCTTGGACAAAGGCATGTTGAGAATCCGAGATTAACCCAGGCAAATACGGACGGATTCTAGCAACCAAGAACTTAGTTGCACATTTGTAGATTTTATTACAAAGGCTAATAGGCCAAAGGTGGGAAACCTCCAAAGGAGTAGCAATCTTTGGAATCATGACCAGGAGTGAATGATTCCATTCTTTAAGAAGGAACCCCCGATAGAAAGAAACTTTGTACAGCTGCAACCACCGAAGCACCCACCGTGGGCCAATGAACTTTGAAAAATTCTGCCGTAACTCAATCTGGACCTGCGGACTTGCAATTTCCCAAATCAAACATTGCATCCTGAATCTCAGTTGCGTTAAAAGGTTGTTCCAAATTACTAGTTGTAGACACCTAAAAATGTCTCCCCAAAACCAAACCCGTTGATGAACACCTTTCAGCGCCATTATTGGTTGAGTTGAGTATTTAATCTTTGGAGTGCTTAAATCCATGTTCTATCCCACATATTTCATGAACCAATCCAATTTCTAACTCATTTCCCTAAACCATAACCTATTTTCCACTTTTCGTGTCCACTGAGAGAAACTGATTTTATGGCTATACATTTTTGATCCAATTATTATTTTGTTGGATAGGCCTTTAAAAAAAATTTCCAACCATACATCATAAGCCCAATTCCGAGCTATAACGAAAAAGATATGAGCAAAACACCAAACTCGGCCTAAAACCGACACCCTTCCACTAAAACGGCCATATCTTAAAATATACATATTATTTTGACTTGATTTTAATTGGGTTGGAATTTAGACTTGATAAGATTTCCATTGATATATTATATGCCTCATTCCGAGTTACGGATCAAAAGTTATGATTGTTTTAAAAACGGGTAAAAACCTGGAATCACCGCGCACAGTGCAATTCCACCGTGTCACGGGAAATTGCACCGTCTGACGGTGGGAATCCCCATGACATGGTTCCCTTCCTGTGACGTGGGGCTATTCCGTGTCCTATTTGCGTTCTTCGTACCTAAACAACTCCTGCGTCACGACATTTTCCACCGTGTCACGGGAATTTACACTGTCTGACGGTGGGATTCCCCGTGACACGGAGTTGTTTCCGTGTAATTTCCACGTCTCCCATACTATGACACGGTGTACTGTACCGTTTCACGGTGGATACTGCCGTGTCACGGTACCTGTGCCGTGTCACGGGACATTCCGTGTCTTTTCCGCGTAAACCCTTAACGCGTTTTCACTTCCCGTAACCTAAATATTTCCCGTGTCACGCAAATTTGTACCGTGTCACGGGAAATTTTCCCGTCTGACGGTGGGATTTCCCGTGTCATGGTACACTTTGCCGTGTCGCGGGATACTTTTTTTAGGTTTTTTTTTTATCATTTTAGGGTTCCGTGTGCTCCCTCAGCACATTTTCTCTATAAATACCCCTCATTTCTGATGTACGGGGCACCAAATAATCATTAATTACTCTTATTTTATTTTATATTGCTAGTATCATGATTAGGTTATTTTATATTTGATTTGACTAACGCTATTATTGTTAAATTGCTTCCAATGTTAATGTTTATTTTATTATATTTATTTTGATCACTATATTGCATGTTTAAAGGGAATACGTAATTGAAAATCACGCACAATAAGATCATTTGGACAACCAGTTTAGAATCCTTTTTAATCTTGTTATTAATTGAAGTGATCACAAATATTTTAGAATTATATGTTGCATTAATATTAAACTAATTTAGCTCAATAATAGTTTGGAGCAAATTGAATTTTTGTGCATGCCTTTGAGATCGCAGGAATCACTTTTCAATATAAGAATCGAGTAGAGGTCAATACGGGCGAATGTGACTCCATGACTCACTTCATACCATCATCCCCGATCCTCCTTTCGTGGTTCCGAACCATATGGAGTTAGTAATCTCATGGATTATGAATGGGGTGTAACCTTCACGGGTCAATCGTTGTTGCCTTCGTTGTCCCTTTATCGTGGTTGGCTTTTATGATCCGTGAACGGTTTACAAGTTCCTTAAAAACTTGTTGGCGGCTCCCTACTTTATTTGTCCCTAATCGTTGTCCCTAATCGTATATGTCAATTCCCACTTCCTATGAGTGCCAAGCATATTCACAACATGCTTTTTACGTAGGCGCACTTCGAGCGACGCCTACAATTTGGCGACTCCACTGGGGAGGATTCTTGATTATTTATCGATTTGAGTGATCGGTATTTAATTAAGATGAATGGATGAGACTTGAAAGATTCTTGAAAAAATATTCATGTGATTAATTTGGCATTTTTGCATCTGCATAGACGTTTTAACGTCGCATTCAGGTCTGTCCCGTAGAAAAAATTGGATAACTTGGTTGCGCGCAAAGGAAAACAGGGCACCAGTCAGATCTTCTGACTGCTGTGACACGGCACTCCTAAAATCAGTCCGGTGGCTTATTTTCTCTTCGCACAGTCAACTTCCTTCGATTTTTCTGAAAAAAAACGTATGTTTTCTACATGCGTCTTAGCCCCGGGGAATTTAAGCTCTATCGACCCAAAAACGCTCATGGCAATAAGGGTTCATCCGAGTTATTAAATTCACCCAAACCATGGAGTCGAGTTCGATTTCATCACGAACTCGCGGAGCCGCCCGTTGGCATACACCCTCAAGGGAGGCTGCCTTGCTAACACGTCCAAACTCTTAACCATGATACCCTTTTGACACCCAAAGCTTGACCAATAGTTGAACATAGATCTTGACTCTAGGTTGCGAACTTTTTTTACATCATCGTGCCTAAATGCTATGTGGGTGTTTGGTGCTAACCTTCATGTGTTTACTCTTTTGTTTAACCCATGACCGAGGGTTTTTATTCTCACATAGTAATTAGTACGGACTTAAAATCGGTTAAAATCTGGAAAAACCACAAAACTGACCTGGAACTGCGCACCGTGTCACGGCATGTTCTGCCGCACCACGGTGAACAGTGCCGTGACACGGGCTCACTACCGTCTGACGGTAGACTGCACCGTGTCACGACAGTCTGCACCGTGACACGGTGCCCAGGAAAAGTGTCTTGTCAGTCTTTTTTTGATTCTTGTGCGTACGTATGTGGATGTTGTGTCCGGTTTGGTGTCATGTCTAGCTGTACGGTCAAACACGCGTCCATAGCCTCACCTAATCACTCACATATCGTGTTCACACACTTTTTTCTTTAGTCGTGCATTACTTTTTGACCGTATTTTAGGGTAGTCTTGTTTTTTGTGTCGTTTTTTTTCGGAGTAAGTCGGATGATATCCTCCCTTTAAAAATTAAACAAGTAGAATTTCAAAATTATAGATTTTTTTTTTTCGAAAAAAAAAAAATAATAATTTCCCCGTGCCACGTCAGCATCCACCGTGGCACGGTGGAGTTTCCCGTGGCACGGTAAACATTCCCGTGCCACGGCACAGTCCACCGTGGCGCGGTGGACCTGCAAAAAAAAAAAAAAAAAAAAGTCTGCCGCGCCACGGGAAACTCTACCGTGCCACGACAAATTTTCACCGTGACACGGTGGATATCCAAAAAAAAAAAAAAAAATCCCTGTGCCACGTTAGCATCCACCGTGGCACGGTGGAGTTTCCCGTGGCGCGGTAAACATTCCCGTGCCATGGCACAGTCCACCGTGGCGCGGTGGAACTACAAAAAAAAAAAAAAAAAAAAAGAAAAAAACACCACGTCACGGCAGCTTGTCACGTGACACGGTACAGTCTTCCGTGTCACGGTTCCCTTGAAATAAGTCCAGTCAGCTTTTTTTTAAGTCTTCCGTGTTAATTTGGTCCTCGCGTCAGTCATTTTGGTTACATGTCTAGCCATGCGATCATACCACGAGTCTTATAACATCACTTAGTCACTCACGAGTCAAGTATAGTCCACACACTTTCTTTATGTTCTGACTCGAGTCGTGCACCAGGTCGTTTATGATCGTATATTAGGTTCATGCACCCTTTTTTCGTCATAATAAAAAAATGAGTGGAGTTTTCTCTCCTGTTTTCAAATGTCTATTTTTTTTCCTTCCTTTCCTATCTTGAGCAATGAGTCAAACAATTAAGTGAATTATTTTATTTCACAGTACTTGGTCAAGGAACAGGGATAGATTAATACGGTTCAAGTCATTATTGCAACAATCTCTCAGATCTAATAGGAGTTCAAAGAGAACTTTGCCATCTCCATTACTCATCACCTTACAATGGCCACTAA